AGAATCTTAAAGGGATAGTTCACCCAAAAATGAAAATTCTGTCATTAATTACTCACGCTCATGTCGTTCCAAATCCGTAAGACCCCCGTTCATCTTCGGAACACAAATTAAGAAATTTTTGATGAATTCTGAGAGCTCTTTGACCCTCCATAGACAGCAATGTAATTACCACGATCAAGGTCCAGAGACGTACGTGGAGCAGACAAATTGTTAAATAAAGTCGTTATTTGTTTTCTTTTGTGCACAAAATGTATTCTCGAAGCTTCGTAAAATTACGGTTGAACCCCTGATGTCACATGGATTATTTTACCGATCTCCTTGCTACGTATCTGCACCTTGATCGTGGTAATTACATTGCTGTCTGTGGGAGGGTCAAAGAGCTCTCAGAATTAATCAAAAATATCTTAATTTGTGTTCCGAAGATGAACTGAGGTATTACGGATTTGGAACGACATGAGGGTGAGTAATTAATGACAGAATTTTCATTTTTGGGTGAAGTAACCCTTTAATGTGTTCTTTCTCGTATGCCACAATGTTCAGATTTGACAGGGAACAGCAAAAGTGTTACTTTTTGCCCCTTTACAGAAAAACACCACAAGTGTGACTTTGTGCCATTTTGTACAAAATAAAAGCCTTTCAAAACAAACTCCCTGATTAAACATTAAAGTACACTAGTGTGATAAACAGAGCAAATTTTCTTCAGTTTTTATTTAATATTGTGAAAATTATTCATAAATAATGCTTTTTTCACTCAAAAAATTTTATTTTAACATTTATATACATTAACAAAAATAAAAAAATTTTTTTTTCAATTGACTATTATCAAAATTACTACTTCTAGAAACAACAGAAATAATAATAATAATAGTAATTATAAAACAATTCTGTGTCATTAAAATTGAGTTAAATTAAAAAGTCTTACAAAATTACTTTATATTATTTAATAAAATAAATAATTATTACAAAGCATTTTCGGGTTCGGTTTTCGACCAAGCACATCCAGAATTCTCAGTTTCGGGCCATAATTTTCATTTCGGTGCATCCCTACCATTTACTGTAACTACATACAGAGCACTGTGTTTGCAACCATATGCTCCTTTAAAGGGGTCATATGATGCAATTTCATTTTTTCCTTTCTCTTTGGAGTGTTACAAGCTCTTGGTGCATA